GATACACAGATTAATGAAGATGGGTTAAACTAATATGTAAGAGTTAGCCAATAAGAAGTTAGAGCTAATGGCAAGCAGTGTTTTAATTAATAGTTTCTGTGTGGTTATTTCGGGTGTAAGCTAGCCGAGTGGCAGGGACAAACAAGAGGCCCCCTCCTTACAACAAGGGAGGGACAAAGGAAGGAAGGGAGGGAGGGAGGGAGAAAGGAAGGAATGAAGCGTATACTTATATATTTATATTATATTATAGTATATAATTCACATATGATATATATACATATATTTGTATGTTTGTATATTAAAACACTATAATGATTCCCATTATTCTGAATGCTAACTAAGAACGTGAAAGGAAAGAACAAAGCAAACAAAAAATATTTAAAGCATCTTCAATCCAAGTTTGAGAAGCATATATTACCAACATAAAAGGGGGACACCAGTCATTTCAAACAGCCATCACACGTCACACAGTTGCTTGACAGAGTTCTACTGATTCCAAGAGCAGAGAGTGAAGCTAGTCTGTTATTACTAAACTAAGACATGTATGATTGCACGTTCAAAGTTCTGCTAAATGGGATCATACTAATATTGTCAAGAAACAAATACCTTAGTAAAAAAAACTTTCAAAAAATAAAGACTCTTATGATCAAATACTGAACACCAGCTTTAGGTAAGACTCTCACAGAAGTCCACAGAAATAAAGCTGAAATGAGCAGAAACGGAAGGATCATAATACTATGTTCAGTATGTTTTACAAAAGAATACAGACAAATGCACCAAGTAATGTTGAAAATATGGAGGAGGGAGTAATTGGATATTTCTCTGAGAGTTAAGAAAAACATCCCAGGGAAGGTGGGAGGTATCCTGGGTCTCAAACAATGAGAATGACAGAAAGGCACCCTAGGTGGACAGAGGCACTGGGACGCTGTCCTGCCACCCTACAGTACTCACTGGAGACAGTGGTGATGTACCCAGTGACCAATGTATTTTACTGTTTAAATCATATAACATAAGCTTTGTGATCTGCTACCAATCCACCTAAGTAATATGTGTAAGTGTCTTGATTTTGGTAATCTTTATATAACTATGTTTGGCATTTTTCTTCACTTTCCTAACAGCAAATGCTAGAAGTCAAACAACAGTAACAACAATAAGGTTCCAAAAGGTTAAATAAAAAACCTCAAAGATCCAAACTGAATTCAGTGCTTTTTTATTAGTAATTATTTATGGGCCATAGTTTAATCATATTGTAATGTTTTCCATAAATAATACTACAAGTGCCAACAAATACTAGGTTACAATAGCTAATCAGCCACCTACACCCCACTTGAAAGCAGAAGAATTTCAAGATGGATGAGATGGAAAATTTGGGAGCTAAAACCACAAAATGTACAATGTTATACTTGAAAGCCTAGTCCGCCATACTGAGTAAGTGAAGATTTGTTTTTTGTTGTTGTTATTGTTGTTTGGCTTTTGTTTGTGTTTATTTATATATATGGGGGACTTTGTGTCTGTTTTTCATGACAGAAAACAAACTACAAAAGTGCTGATGACAACATGGATGGTGGACTTGAACAAGAAGAGGCTGATGACTACAGTAGCACAGTGCTGGGGGAGGCAGAACCACAGCAGATAACAAGCTCTGTGAGTCAACACAAATAAAGAGATTGGCACATGGTCATCACCTGCTAATTAGTTGACCTGGGACAATTAAAGAACTATTAGCAGTCTGACACTAAAGTATAATAAAGACATCTGCTGAAATAAAGTCCATAAATAATGGCTTTCCTGCTCAGACAGTCATAGGACGTCTATATTAGAAAGAACCTTATCAATTATTCTGTCCTGATGCGATCAAACGTCAGTCCTCATGATTGGCTCCAATTCTGTGGGCTCTGGAGGAGTCCAGGAATCTGGACTTTTAATGGGAACCCCTGGTCTCCCCACTGCCCTTACCCCATGATGCTCCTACATATGCTCCAGAGACCACAGTCTGAGAACTTGGTCTGTGAACTTACCTAGAGTCAGAGAAGAAAACCTGCAGGGAGCTGGAGTGAGGAGCATAATGATGGAAGGCTTCAGAATGAGAAGCTTGATTCCTAGCTGCAGTAATCTTTGCATAGATCGTCTCCCCGCCCCCCCCCCCAGAAAAATAAACAGAGCCAAATTGGGCCTAACGGTGAAAGAAGCCAGACTATCTGATCTTTAAAATCATGTAGCCAAATCTAAAATTAAGGTGTTTTTCTAGAGTTGTCCTTTTCTTTTTAGTTCTGAGATATAGGGATCTCAACTCAGGTTACAGCACGCCTATTTGAGCCATAGGAAATTTTCAGTTTGTTTACATTCTAATATGAATTTCATATATATTATTTTCTTTACATTAATTACCACTTGCTTAGACCACAAATAATAAAACATTTCCAAGTACATCAAATCCCAGGTATTTACAGTTTCACCGAACTTAAAAATCAAAGTATTAGAAACCCATTGGAATATTTTGGAGCATAATGTCTGACTGGTAAAACTACGGAGCTGAGAGATGCTAGAAGTCTACCACTAACTATCAACTCTCAACCTCTTTATGCATCAGCATGTTCATGTTCCCTAAGGTCCAACAATGATCTCCTCTTCTTCCTAAAGATTAAATTACATGCACCAAATTATACTGTGAAATTTATAAATGGAAGATTCCAGAAATAATCTGTGTTCTGAATTGAATGCTGTTCTGACTAGTGTGATAAAAATCACTAATTCAGCCACATGACTCAATCTTGTAGTGTTTCCACTCACTAGTCACTTGTCTTCTCAGTTACCAGATTATTATGTTATCAAAGTACTTGTGCTCAAATAAACCCTATTTTTTTAATAATGGATTTTTTTTTTTTTTTTTGGTTTTTTGAGACAGGGTTTCTCTGTAGCTTTGGAGCCTGTCCCGGAACTCCCTTTGTAGACCAGGCTGGCCTCGAACTCACAGAGATCCGCCTGCCTCTGCGTGGCCTTTAAAGCATAAGTGTAGTTGTTGTGGGAATTCCTTCAACCAATAGTTTTTCAGATACTGGCTCATTTCGGGTGGGGTCTGAAGTACTAGAAGTCAAAGGATAAGTGTGCATGGCCCCTTTTCCTTTTGGGTTCGGTTTCCAGCTTCCAGCACACACAGAGGACCGCAGATTTCCACCCTTACTGTAAGTTTTATCCCCAAATAAATAAACCTTTGTTACACTTCAGTCCAGGCTATAGTGGAACTCCTTAATATACCTGCAATTTGGCACCCCATGATGGGGGCCATTATGAAAGCAGAGATTACCCTTGCATTTCCTGGCCACTCAGACCCAAATAATCAGACAAAACTATATTAATTACAACTCTGGTTAGCCAATGGCTCAGGCGTATTCCTAGATAGTTCTTATATCTTAAATTCACCCATTTCTATTAATCTGTGTATCATTAATATGTGGCTTACTGGTAAAGTTCTGGTATCTTTCTCCTTTGCCAACTACATGGCATCTGCCTGACTCTGCCTTTATTAATTAATGGTAATAAAACATATTCACAGCATACAGAGGAGAATTCCACATCAACTAGTGATGTAACTCTGACACACACAGGAGAGAGAACACAAAGTGCTTCCTTTGAGTGAAAAGGTTAATGTATAAAAAATATTCTGAAAGAGAGAGAGACCACATTCACATAGCTTTCATTTTAGGGTATTGAAATAATTGTTCTATTTTGTTTTTAATAAAAAACAGTGATCTATCATTGTTCCTAGCTCATAAACTAAATATTATATAAGTATGCACATATACAAAATGTATGTAAGGTTCAACATTAAATATAGTTTTAGCCAACCAGGGGAATTTAGTGGAAAGGAGGAACTTTGGAACTAAATCTCCCCACATACCACTCACGATGTGATAGGAAACAGTTGTAAATTTTCAAAATTTAAAGGAACTAGTCAAAGTAAAAATAAAGAATGTATAAAACCCTTCACACATTCAGCCTCCACTATGACTAGAGAAACACAATGCAGATTGAGACAAGCACCAATGGAATCCTCTAAAGGAAATATATCTTGGGCTAGGCTTTAAAAGAGGAAGTGTGCTATGGACAGAGCAGCAACGCACACCAAAGAGTTCATAAATGAGACAGTTCGATGTGACTGATGCCGGGAGAAATTAGCTATTTTATCTTACTCTTATGGGCTCTTGGCCATCATAAAACAGAATGTGTCGGTAAAGCAAAGCACAGAAAAAGGCATTTTTTTTCTTGCAATGAATTCTGACTACTAAAAGCTGCCTATGAGATAATATATTTCAAATATCATTTGTATTTAAGATGAGCTACAAATTTATTGTTAATGCTATATTATTATACTATTAAGAACCTCTTGGATTTTGCATTTTTTGGCTCCAACACATCCAATTAATGATCCTTCTGCCACATTCATGCTTTAATGCTATTAAGCACACATAATGTGTTTCTCTTCCACTAAAATGAACTAGAACTTCACCAACAGATTGCCAAAGAGCACTGTATTAGGCCCCTACCTGGACACATCATCCAACTCTGACACGAAAACAGGAGGTAGAATGGCAAAAGGGAAGTAAATATTGCAGCTAATTTCAGAATCTAGGAGAATTTTGAAAGGTATGTATTTGCCAATCTCTGACAGTTTCCAATAAATTGGCAAACAAACACCAGGTGGGTTGTAATATTCACCTATTTATAAATTATAAAAAGTGAGATTCTGTTATAAAAAAAATCAACTTCTCACTTCAGTAACAACCTCACAATCATGACCTGACATGCAACCATGTCCCATCCAGTGACAGGATGCTTACTACGGCAAAGGAGAGTTCACTGCAGTTTGAGCAGTTTTCATTAGGGCAGTTCCCCATTCTCACTCAATGACCAGATTAAATCCCTGTGACATAATTCAGTGGAAAGAGCAAGAGCTCCAGATTCATATAGAACTGAAAATAATTTCCCATTCTGCCACTTACTGGTTTTGTCTTTGAGCATCTTTTTTAATCTCTCTGATTCTCAACCTCCTCACCTATAAAATAAGGAAAATACCCCTGAATGGTTTGTTCTATGCCTTAGGTTGTACCTTAAAAGCACATAGTACTTTGCCTGGCGCACACAGTTGCTCAATGGATAAAGCACTATTCAAAGCATTTGCTTCAGCTGTACCATTTGGTGTTGGTGTTTTAATCCCTCTTTCATGTGCGAATGACAGCCCGTTAAATACAGCTGTGGTGAACTTGTCCTGAAATTGTTCTGCTAACTATCTGTTAAGCTCCTGCATCTTTTTTATGGTACTATACGATAGCATGTTACCATGCCATTGGGGACCACAGGGATAATGCACTGTAACAGGCTGTGAATGACCTATTGGATGATTCTGCACTTGTAACATTATCAACAAGAGACTATATAGTAATTCAGGTGGACATTTCAGTTCACACCATTTCAAGTTGACAGAAATCAGTACAGACATGACACCCCACTCAACATAAATAGACTTGATTCTGGCATATACTTGCTTAAAACAAATATCAAACCAATTAAAAAATAAGAACTAAGTCAAAGTCACTTGTAAGAAACACATCTAAATACACAGAAGTTTAATGTATAATTTATAAAATGGCATATCAAAAATACTAATTTAAAAAACTGATAGTTTTATCAGTATCACAAAAATAATTTTGAAGGTAAAAACATTGGGACATAAAGAAAATCACTACATAAAAGGTTCAATTCACAAAGAAGACATAGTGTTATACAAATATGAACTTAGGATTTATCTATGAAAAGTATTTGAAACAAAAAAGTCTGAAATTCAGATAAATGTACAAATGCATACAATACTGGATGTTTCTAACATACACACCAGTAATTGTTATGTCAAACAACAGCAATAACAAGCCAATAAATATAGAAAACTGAACAACACGTTGATCTAACGTGCATCTACAGAAGAGTACATCTGACGATTAACAACATATGTTACTTTTTTCTTTTTTTACTTATTTTAAGAAAATCTTTTCTCATTTTACATACCAATCCCAGTTCCCACTCTCTCCCCTCCTTCTGCTTCCCCCATCTTCTCCCCACCACACCCTCCATCCACTCCTCAGAGAGGGAAAGGTTTCCATGGGGAGTCAAGATAGTCTGGCTATTGCTTTGAGGCAGGACCGAGACCCTCCCTGCTATATCTAGTCTGAATAAGGTAATCCTCAACAGAGAATGGGCTCCAAAAAGTCAGTTCAAGCACTAGGGATAGATCCTGGTTCCACTGCCAGTGGCCCCACAGACTGTCCCAGCCATACAACTGTCACCCCCATTCAGAGGGCCTAGTTTAGTGGTATGCAGGTTCCCCCCTGTCAGTCCAGAGTCAATGAGCTCCCACTAGCTTTGGTTGGGTGTTTCTGTGGGTATCTCCATCATGGTCTGGACCCCTTTGCTCCTAGACACATATGATTTAAAAATTAAAATCAATCTACTCATTTGTTTCAATGTGTGACTAAAAAATGAGTTGACAAAGAGTAGTAAAGAACTATCAAGAAAAATCATATATTTAAAAATTCAAAATACACCTCCAAACTACTAGAGTAATAGAAGAATAAAAATTAGAAAACACATACTACTGAAAAATAACAAAATAATAAACAAAGGTAATAGATGCAACTGAATTTACAGTTTTACAAATTAACTATATAAAATTTAAAGCATTCAAAATAAATATATATAAATGCATATATATGACCTTTTAAAAAAGGAAGGAAGTTTAAAAATTAATGAACTGCCAGGCATGGAAGGGTATACTTGTAATCCCAGCATTCAGAAGGCTGAATTTGAGGTAAGCCTGAGTTATACAGTGAGGCTATCTCAAAAATTAAAAAGAAAAAAAATTAGAAAAAGAGCAAGCAAAAGAAAGGCAAGAATTGAAATGGAAGATGAATATAAAACAAGAAATTAATAAAACAGGAAACAAAATATAATAGGAGGAAACAACAATCCAAATCTTGGCTCCCCAAAACTAATAACACTGTCACATCTCTGGCAAAAGTAAATGAGAAAGTAAGGGCACAAATAATATTTGCAACAGAAAAGGAACACAGTTACAGTTGTAGTAGCTATTACAAACCTAATCAGAAAATTTCATCAACTATTTTAGGTGAAATGGATATATTCCCAGAAAAGAATGAACTTCTAGGAGAGTAAGGAATTTAGAAAAATTGTAACACCCATCCATTATCAAGGACACTAGATGTACAATGTTTTCTAACAACCAAGTATCCATGGCTGAAGTTGCTGCGCTAATATGTAACCTTTGATGAAAGTGATTAAAGCAACCCATGACATGAGGCACATGGCCATTTAACTGGCACCCCTAGGATCAAGGGTCAGAAGGGGCACCCAGTTACAAAGGTTAGATATGATGCAGATGTACCAGCTGTGGGTGAGGACCAAACAGTACGAAGCTCTGAAGTCCAGCTCCAGAGTATGGCGTGGCGTTGACCTGGCAGATCTTTTGTGTTTTGAAGTAAGAAGAGACACCATGTAGATTTTATAAAAACAAACAATAGGAAAATCACAATAAAGCCAGTCCCCTAAGGTTCTAAAACAAGGCCATGCCATTTCCAAATAATAAACACAAGCTGCTCACAAAACACCCCCTAGGCCCCAGACGGGACAAAACAGTCACTGTGGACATTGACTTACCCACGAGGAAAGGAGTGTGAGCTGAGTTCCAACCAACTCACCAGCCATACGGTTAGGCAGGTCTGGCAATATCCCAGAAGATCCAGGACTGAACAAAACAGGGACAGAGGGTACAAGCAGATGTCGTTACTGAAGCCTATACCATCCACTTTTCTTTAAACACGCGGGATGTCTTTAACAAGCAGTTAAGAAACAGGAAAACAATCCATAAGTAGGTCAAGTGATGATATCAGTGTGACTCAAAGCTAAGCTGCAGCTACGTAGCAACCCCAGTCAGAGACGCGTCCAGAGCAAAGTGGTATATTATCCTAGCAGGGCTCTGGGTGAGGTACCTAAAGGAACAGAGTGTCTCACTGCTAGAAAACATCAGGATAGACAGTGGAGAGTGCTTTGGCTGGTTGGTCAGGGGTCTGTAAGAAAAGAAACGGAAAGATCAGTGGTGTGAATGAATGGAGTGAAGACTTGATGCAGCTGGACCTATGAAAAAGCATTAGTTCCTGCAGGAGTTACACTAGTTTGCCGATAGGTGGAGACCTCCAATTGCGCGTACCATGCTCCCGTGTCTGCGCTCTGTGCGCTGGCACCCAGTTACGGAGCTTCCGGCAAGGGGCTGGAGGTTGAAATATAGACACACAGAGACAGAGAGACAGCGACACGGGTCATCCTTGAATTCCCCAAGAATGCCCCCTTTACTGTGTTCAGGGGCAGATTATATAGAGATAGCCACGCCCCAGCCAAACCCACCAGAAACCACTCTCCTGCCATCAGGAACTCCTGAAGGTCTCGTGCTCAGAGCAGCTGTAGGCACTCAAGTGAGGGGATTACAAGAAATTCAGGATCCACGGTCTCACTGCTCCCAACACTAGTCCACACTTTTCCCTGCAGTATGGGAATTCTCACACTCTGTTTATTGGACTTTTTGGTTTTGTGAGTATTTGAATCAAGCCTCTTAAAGGATATGATAAAATGAAACAAGCTGGAATACTTAGTCATACCAGCAAGAGTCTCTATAACTTTGAAAAGGTTTTTATAGCTGAGAATACCAGGCTGAGCATATTCAAATGCAGATGCAGCTTGAGCAGCTGGAATTTACTGAACTTAATAAATGCCAGACCCTCCAAATAAAAAGGGAGGGAGGCAAAGAGAGAAATATGCCTCTCTTTTCTCATAAGCTTAAATCAGTGGATACACATAATATATACTAACATTACACAATCCTAGAGGTAAATTCACAGGGAGTGGTAAGAAGAAAACATACAAGAAAAACATATACAATGAGGGCCAGAGCCCTCAGTACTGACTGCTCCTCCACAGGACCTGGGTTTGATTCCCAGCACCCACATAGCAGTTAAAATTTGTCCACACAGTGCCAGAGAATCTGACAGTCCCTTCTGGTCTGCATGCATATGGTACACAGACACATATGCAGGCAAAACACCCTTAAACATAAAATTAAAATAAGTAAATCTCGAAACTAAAACAATATATATATATATATATGTATGTATGTATGTAAATAAACATATAGGAGCCACACAGATATGGGGGATGGGCTGGGGGGACAATAATTACTGCAAGTGACATGAAGTATATGAGAAATTCTCCCATAAAACGATAGAGACACGAAAGCAAAGGAACCAAATCGGAGTTTCAGACATGCTTAGAAGCCTGGGAAGTTATTAAAGGACTTAAAAGATTGGTGTGCTCGGTTTGCCTTGGACAACACAGGCTGCAGCATGGAGGATGGAACGCTCAGAGTAGGTATGAGACCTAGCTAGAGGTTATGACAACAGTCATATACACATATGATTTCCCATTTTTTTTAATAAGGCTACTAGAAATTTTTGTCTTATATGGAGCTTGTACTCTGTTTATATTAGCCCGGGCTAATCTAAGAAATAGCAAAACCATATATTCACAATCATATTCATCAAATAGTAATATACTGAAAACATTTCCTGTTAACACTACAGACAGGGAAATGAAGGCATGGCTCAGACTGAGAAGCCAGGAGTACAGGAAATGTAGTGATTTGTAAGTAGAATGTATCGTAGGGAGCTGAAATCTCTGATCTGCATATTCCTCCTCCTCCTCAGGATGGAGAGCAGCCACAGGAAGGGAGGAAATGAGATACCATAAATGATGTCAGTAAGAATACAACAGGCTTTCAAAGAATTATTTTTAATTGCTATTTGTGTATGCACATGCCATGTGCATACAAGTACTCTTGGATAACAAGACATCAGACTTCCTGGAGCTGTAGCTACATGCAGTTGCAATAATGACCTCCAGACATGAATGCCAGAAACCAAATGCAGGTCCTCTGGA